CCAGAAGTGGGGAGGTAGACCTCTCGATAGGCTTTGTGCTTTAATGAGACAGAAGGAACAGAAGCAAGATAATCTCAAATGAGGTATGAGGACATCAGATTCTGGCCAGCCCTGCGTAAATGCAGTGGAGCAAGCTCTCCTCGATATCCTTGAGATCACAGAACTAAGTTCCCAGTAGTGGAGCCTTGCTCGGGATATCCTTGACTTCAGAAGTGAGGTCAGGCTCTTCTGTAGAATCTCAGGAGGGACTCTCCTGTTATTTGAAGTCTTAAGTGCATCCAGGAGTTGACTCAGCTATGAGTAAAGTGCTACTCTGGCCCTCTGCCCAGAGACTGGATCACTGCGAGGGCAAATTGATCCTAATGATCCCAAAGAGGCATGGACAGGAACTTCTCTTGAGGAGGTCGTATCAACGAGGAGTTGACTCTCTGTACTCCTTTAATGGATGGGATGATCTTTCTGTGCTTGGGGATCTCCGATTTCTGAGTCATGTTCCTGTGTACCAAAGCTTTCATCCTGGTTCATCTGGAAGAACAACCTTTTGAGTCCTAGTTTCTTCATGTGGTGATGTTCCCTCCTCGGTCAGGAAGGTTGACCTAGTTGTCGTAGGAGACTGTTTATGCTGTACCCTTCTTACCAGCCTGCATGCTATAGGCATTGAATCCTGACGACAAAATAGCCTTTATCTCTCTTGGGGCCCTGACTGGAGATCTAATCCACATTAGATGACTACTTCTTTGACATGGGCAGAGTTGAGGGAACCAAAGGCAGATGGTCTTCCCTCTGTTATAGCCACAGGACTTCATTCTTCTCCTTCCTTCCTCTCAGAATCCAGAGGGAAGGGGAAATAATCAATGACCCTGTGGCCTGATAGCTGAAGTCCTAAAAGACTGGCCTAGAGGAAAGGGACTAAATACCCCAACCTCTCTCCTCTTACAACCAATGAGCAGTGCCTGCAGGTGTTGGCAAGAGAAGCAGTGGATGTCTTTCCCTCTATCCTCCAGGCAAATACAAATGGGTGATCCTGTCAGTGCATAGAACAGGGTGAAGAATGGTAGAATGAGTGGATCTTTGGAGGCAAGCCGAATAATCACACCCAGTCCTATCCTGCTGCCAGCCTATTTCTTGGCCTTTGTTCAAGTATAACGAGGATTGACAGCATTCTGTATCTAGAATGCTGTAGGATCCTCCCTACCATTGGGGCTCTCTGCTCTAGGGTGGCCACTGCCTCTTTGGAGCCTTTTTCAACTCTTATTGTGGCTCTTCTGCCCGACTTGGTCATAAGGAGATGGTCTCCATGCAGGTGTCCTTTCTGGTCTTACCACCACACCTACTGTGGCTGCTACTGCTCTATGCTTCTCGGGTTCTCAGAGCAGCAAGAGAAGTGACCATCACCATCAATTCCACACCTGTTGTCCCTGCCAACAATGCTGATTTTAAAAAAATGTAAGTGTCTAGTAAGTTTGGTCCTTAATTTTCATCGGAACGTCGTTCTCTGGCTGTGGCTCTGTCTACAATGAAAGCCACAGGTAAGGTGGTGCAAGTAATCCGTGGCTCAAAAGGCTGGTGAGGGTACAGGGATCTGGACTCTCAACCCCACAGTGGCCTCTTAATGAGCTATACAGCAGGAATTATCTAGCATCTTGGCAATCTCTTCAGTCCTTGTAGCATGCCCTAGTGGGTGTGAGGCAGGTGTTCAGTGCTGTCTATGTCCCCTTGTGTGTCTCTGCCATGTTCAAACCCATTGGCTCCTGGAGCAGCTCCACTTGTAATAGCCAGCACCTACCTGCATCTTCTCGGAGGATGGACCTCAGGTGGCTCAGGGTGCACACAGTGGGGGATGGGGGGTGCCAGAAGTGCCTTGACAGATGACTGACGGCTGCAGGTGTATAAATGGTCCGGCTCCTCACCACCATGAGGCCAACCTGAGATGATTTACCCAGTTTCTGCAGCTGGCCTGTAAAACCAAGTCAGTTGTACCCTGTGGGCTTAGCTTGATACGAAGACCTTGTGTGCTTCCTTGCCTATCTGGCCCCACTTCCTTGCTGCCCAACTAGTGGACTCTGAGACTGCTTCCTACAAACTTTCACCCAAACTTCAGAAGGGACCTTATGATGGGCGACTCACATTGCTCATGTGGTCGTCTTGCTTGGTGTCCAGCCCTGTGGAAATTAAGTTGCCTAGATATAACCGCTAGCCTCCACTTCCTGAGTTTTGAAATGGGCAGAGCACTTTTAAGACTGGCAGAGAAGGGATTCAAACCTGGGTTGACCTAGATCCACAGTTAAGAGCAAACGTTGGCATGAAGCAGCCCCTGTGATGGGGCTGGAAGTGAGGACAGCGAGAAGGGGCAGAATTGCTCACTAGGATGCCAGAGAGTCCAGACTGCAAATGGCCCCAGGCTACAACCAGCTCTGGTTCCTTATGCTGAAAACCTCCTCTACCAGGTAGTTAAAAACCTGCAAAGTAACACCTTAAGTGAACCAGGCGAGAGTTTTCTGCCTATAGGAAAGAAAGCCTGGGGCTAACTCTTAAACACATCCTTAAAAAGAATGTTAATCTTAACCTAATGGTGACTTGTGTGTAATTATGGCTGCACACAAGTACACTCACACTATGAAAACTCGAGCTCTATACTTACGTGTGCACTTTTCTATGTGTATGTGGAAAAAAATCTGACTGTAAAGAGAAAAATACATGGCTCCGTACATCCTGACTTGGTGGGAGTGCTGCCCAAAATCCTATCATGAAATTTTTGCTAAAAAGGATCCAGGACTCCTCATAATCAGGGAGAAGGGAGTAAGACCTCGTCTACGTCCTCCTTATGCCCCTGACCCATGCTTTGCAACTGCTTTTCCTTTCCCAGATCAGCAGACTTAGGCGAGAAAAGAGGAGATCCATAAATATTTGTCTGCCCTAAATAGATAGCCTCTGTTATTCAGTGAAGAGATTGAGAAGTTGGGGACCCTGCTGGGTAGACGGGAAAGAAGATTGTGCACTGCCCCCTCCCCCCCCCCCCCCCCCCCCCAGGGGAGGGGGGGGGGCTGGCCTATCTCTTGAACCATCTTCCCCCTCAGTCAGACGCCTGGCTCAGTTCTCAGCCATAGCATCTGTTAGTAAGGCCATAAATCAGGCTCAGATGGGGTCAGGCCCCATCAGATTGCGGATGGCATTAGGCTAACAAATGGGGAGTGGGGTGTTTATATTAGTTTTGGCTCTTGAGTTGAAGGAAGAATGCTGGCATTTAGCGTCATGATAAACTCAGCACCAGCACATCCTGGGTCAGCAATTATGCTTCCAAGATTCCTTGGGAGGAGCTGGGGCAGAACCTCCCTGGACCAACATGGCCACCGGAAGAAGCATGCCCCTGATAGAGGGGGGCTGGGCTAAACAGGGACTGGCGTGACAACTGGGCATAATGTTATTGCTGGTGTTTGTCTGGAAATAGACATGACAATCACTTCTGTACTCCATGCCGGCTGCCCTACTGACCCCCTTGGAGTGGATCCATTTGTTAGCAGCTACCTACCAGAAGACCCAGGAGTTAGGTGTGAAAGCAGGTTATAGCAGGGGGTGGGTGATGCCGGTGTGGGGTGGAGAGCCCGCCATCATGATGCGGATCCAGTAAGGTCTCGGCAAACCCAACGGGAGCTCCAGAGCAAAGACTGCCCATTAGAGATGGGCCACGCTGGGCAGAAACGGCCGGGCCCTAGGACACCTGCTCCTCCGGAGAGGCCATGGGTAACAGCATGCATTCTATGAAGCCTCCCAAAGGTGCTGCAGCTTTGTGCTCTCCTACAACTGAACAGCTTCTCTTTCAGGGTATCCAAGCAGCTTCCTCCAGGGCTGCCACGTGGGGATTCTCCTACCCACACCTCCCTTCTAAGAACTCGAGTCCTTCGGAGAATCTGTCTGATGAATCCAGATGGTGCCCCCATTTTAACCCAACCCTTGAACATGTGTAGCTGCTCTAGAACTCGATCTGCACTCCTATGGCAGGAAATAACTTGAGAGGTAGCTTAATCACCTACTCCTACAGCTACATCCCCCTTTGTAGCTCTTCTAAAAAGCCCAGAGTCCTAAAAGGTCTGAAGCTATGTATTTAGTAAAATCTTAATATCTCCAAGAGTCTTTGTTGAAGACCCACAAAGCATAAGAAAGGAGATGGGAAGGAGCCACTAAGGGCACCTCATCGTTCACTGTCATGTCCCTAGTGCTTCCAGGCTGGTGCTCAGCCTAAAGCCAAGCAAGGCAGGGGACATGCCAAGCTCAGAGGCAGGCACTCAAATGCTTGATGTGGGCAACTGAACTTGGGATGGCAGCAGAATGGCAGACTGCATTTTCTAAAAATGATCACACCAATGTTTGTCCATTTTGCCAAACCCAATCAAGAGGGTGGGGGTCTACATTCTCACCCCTGGAACTTGGACCAGGCTTTGTATCTGCTTTGACGGACAAAATCTGGCAGAAAGGATAATCCGTCATCCAAGGCAAGATCATAAGGGGCAATATCGCTTCCAGCCAGCATTCTCTCTTTTTGGGACACTTGTTCTTGGAAACCACGCCATGTTGTGAAGGAAGCCCAAGCATTCCTGAGAAGCCCAACTAGATATAACCCGCGCTGGCTTGTCAGCCATGGGAACAGGGAGAAAGAATCTACATTCAAGGGTGTGAACACCAACTAACACCTTGTGGAGGTGTCTGCTTCTCACCCCATGGGGAAAAAAAATGACTATTGAACGTGCTCAATCTGGGCAGAAGACACAGGATACAGAGTGCACCCCAACTCCAATGACAACTATGAGGTCTGGGAAAAGGCCTCCTTTTACGGTGGTATAAAGGTTCAGGGAGGTGAAGTCCCACCCCTACACAGTCACCAGGCTCCTAAGGGAAAGAATATTCAAGCCTGCACCTGCCTGGCCCTCAGCCCTGTATCTTTCCTTGCTAATAATGATCATGGGTGGTCTTTGTGAGCATCCCCAAAACAGAGGCCAGGCAACTGGATGTTCACACAGAAAGCGCTTGTTAGATGTCTGGAGCGAGGACTCCTTAGGACATAGAGATAAAAGACCTCCCTGCTTGGGGAAGGAGTCACTGCCTTCTGTAGTTGGTCAACCTCAGAGTTCCAGATGGATACCAGGTCGCTGAGAAAACCGGTCCTTCAGAAAAGCTGTAATTCAGAGCCCCTTCCTCAGTATGATGCTAGAAAATGGGCAGGAACAGCTTAGCTTCTAAGCCTTTTTCTCAGCTGTAAAATGGGGATAAGGAGTTTGCCCAAGCCCGCATGTCCCGGAAGGGACTGGTGAATGCACATCGTGGCCCCTAAACGGTGGCTTTCTTCCTTCACCTACTAGAGCCGCCCCCCAATGCAAGTGGTAGGGATGTGCTGATAGATTTCTTTGCACCCCGGGCCTCCGGTGTTCTCAGTTCCTGGTTCTTGCTGGCAAAGCCCGGGGACCCTCGGGCTGGCTCAGACCCTAGAAGCAGGCCTCTCTTCTCCTAGATCTCAAAGTTCCTGCCAGCAGAGGCAACTTCCTGTCTTTGAGGTGCAGTTAGCCCATCCAATGCTTTGAGACTGTGAACAATACCCCTCTCTGGGGTTTTGTGGTCCCCTCTGTAAAGGGTAGGTGCTGGTTCACGGGGCCAGGTTCTTTGACATCTGTAGATGGTGGTGAGGGGGCTCTGTACAGAGGAGCTCAGGAGCTCTACCCACGGTCCAGGAAACTCTAGAAGAATGGCTGAGGAGCTGGCACAGAACTGGGTAATAGCTGATGAGGGGCTGGTGATGTCCATTCTGGGCTCAGTCACCTATGAGAGACGCAGAGGCCATAGAAGCGGGAAGCCAGGTCAAGGACCCCTCGGAGGAGGAGGAAGGAGGTGGGCAACAATCATAGCTCCCGATTTCCCAGCTTGTCCGAGGTGCCAGACGCTGGCTGAGCCTCTTAGCTGCTGGGAGACCTTAAGTGAGCCCCTTTTCCCCGCTCTATGGAACAAGGAAAAGGGTGATTGAGATGAGCTCACTCAACTCTGCACATGTGGTTTCCCATGAAAATGCTCATCCGTGTCCGTGCTGGGCATGGAGAAAATGGTCTTGTTGAGGCTGCAACCGTCTCCATGGCTGCGGCTGCAGACTGAGAAGTCCCACTGGGAGATGTCACAGGTTGGATTTCTGGGAAAAAGACCGAGATGTTCACTAAAAGGGATCCACCCTTAGGGAAGAGGGGGGAAAGTTGAGCTGCAGCGTGAACCCAGTGCAACAGCCTTGGCTGCCCCCGTGGCAAGCCCTGGAGCTAGGGTGACCCTTCAGAGGTGTGCCAGGGGTGGCCTGGCCAGGCCTTTATACCCCCCTGCATGGGCATATCCCCAGCTGTGGGCTACGGCAGAGCAGGGCATGCCCTTTGGGTAGGTGGCTTTCTACAGCTGGGGGATCGGATAGGAGCAGTGAGTCCCAAGGAAATACATGGAGTGGGGGTGGGGCAGGGAGGGCTTCCTGAAGGAGGCGGCCTCTGGCTTGAGTGCTAAAGGTCACGGGAGAAGGACTTGGCTAGGTGAAAGACAACAGGGGCAGGGGTGCAGGGGGGAGGAATGTGTAGACCAAGGAAACCTGGATGAAGGATGGGGAAGGTGGAGGAAGGAAAGGGCAGGGGCCGGGCCCATTGCTGTCCTTGGACAAAGCGTGTGCCTGTTTGAAGTCTCTGGGAACACACTTCCCCTAGACAGCCACATGGCTCACTTCTGCCTACATTCAGGTCCTGGGGAGCCTTCCTGAGGAGGGGATGTTTGAGCCAATGACCCTCTCCCAAATGGCACCCCTTGCTGCACTCCATCCCGTACCCTGCTTTGCTCCCCAGCTGTCCTTGCCCCGAGAATGGAAATCTTCCCGAGGGAAGACCTATTCTGTATCCTCTGAAGCCCCAGCCCTCGGAGCAACAGCCACTCACTTGGCTGCACTTGAGGGCTCTGCCCGAGTGAGCGAAGAGATGGGAGAGGAGCCAGGGCCGCGTGGCAAAATGTACAGTGACCTCCTGTGCAAGGGTCCTGGGGCAGAGGAGCTGGTTTAGAAAACATGGTGCATCCTGATAGCTTGCCCGGTGCCTTGGCCACTGGAGCAGATGTCCTGGAGAAGACAGCGTGACCTTCCTCCCGGAGACCTAGAGAGAGAGGGACCCTCACTGTGGCAGATACGGCCCATCCGCCTGTCTCCAGGCCAGATGGCACCTTAAGCCAGCCCAGGTGTGGATGGGGCCAGACTCCCCAGAGACCTCTTTCAGAAGTCTCTCATTGCAACTTGCTTCAAGTCTCACACCTTCCTGGGCAGGATGTTCCTTTATTGCAAATCCCCCCCCCAGCTGATTGTTCTCAGGACCCAGCCCTTTGATGGTTTTATTGTCCCTAAATTCACACCAGGCCCCAATAACTTCAGAGCAGGTAGAGAACGCAGAGCAGGGAGGGTGCTGTGAGCGAATGGCCCAGGATCAAGGCCGGAGATTACAATCTATAAATCTGCAGGGACCAGGCTTGCCTCTGAAGGTTTCCGCGTGTGGGGCAGGGGTGGGCCCTGCAATCTCCGGCCCAGAATGTCAGGGCTAAGTGAAGCAAGGTGGCCCCCCCACCTCCCGGGGCTCCCACGTGCACCTGCTTTTGCTGCACGTGAGATGGTTGGTCCATGCATCTGACTGCTGCACTGCCCGGCAGGGACCAATTCTAGGACCGAGTGTCATTGGAAACTGAACCTATGAGGCTTCATAGTCATCTCCACACGTACCAGCTCCTGCTAGAATCGGCTTGGCTGACTTGTGGGTCCAGGAACCCCAAATTAAGATGATTTGGGTACAAGTTTGTTAGTATTGTCACCTCCTGCCCCCCCCCCCATCCTTTCTGGGATGACCTCGAAATTAAGAGGGCTGTAAATGAGATGACCATCCTGAGCAACTAAGACTTATCCTCCTGGGAACCTCGTGAGATACCGCCTGGAATAAACCTCAGAATTGTTCTCCCAGGAAGGAGGAAGCTGGGGGCCTTTAACCACCAAGCCCTGCCTCTCGTCGACGGGGCGGGGTCGCTCTGAGTGTTAACTTCTCAGCACTTCTGAATTGTGTGTGATTACAGAAGGGGCTTTTGAGGTGGGGGGTGGGGGCGGGTATCAGCAGAAAGATCACGTGATGGGAGCTGTCCACTGAACTTGTAGGTGAACTTCAGGGTGGTCTGCAAGGCAACGTGCAGGCCACATGTGCTGCCTTTGGGAACTCGTAGAGCTGGAAGCCTACACAAGCCCCCGCTAATATAGCCAATTTGTGCTTGGACCGGCATGGCAGCCTTGGTTAACCCAGCCAGTAAATGTCGAAGCCATGGCTAGGTCCCACCCACGGTCTTATGTACTGAGCATGTTGATCTAAAGAATCCAGATCTCCTGACTTCGAGAAGTAGCCACCGTTTTCCTAACCCACTAGGGTGCAGTCATTCTTCATCACTTTGTCCTACTTGGCATCTGTAGATCCTCAAATAAGGAAACAGCCAAGATGGCAGCCGGCAGCTCATCTGATCGAAGACCAAGAAGGCGGCTAAGCCAGCAGCCGGAGTGAAGCATCATCCCAGGTCAGGGGAACGGAGAAGGGGGCGGGGCGGTAAGATGCAACCGACTTTGGCATCAAGAAACTGCAGGAAGGTCAAATATGGCTGGGGGAGAGCGGTGGTAGATGCCCTGGGAAGAGACCGGTGGGGCTGGACTACGACTGACTTTATAGGTCGGAGAAGGGGCTTTGGCTTTTATTCTCAGGCCGGTAGAAAAGCAGAAGCATTAAAATAAGATCTTGAAATACTACTCTATCACCATGGCTGGAGCCAACTGGTCTCCTTTCTCCCATTCTCTCTAGAACGATCAGTAGAAAGAATGTGGGTAGATTCAGGACAGAATTGGCGAGTTGATGTGACATGCTGATGGAGGGGATCTAGGAAGAGAAATTTTAAGGTAGAATTCTGAAAGTCCACCCCCCCCCCCCCCGCTGTGTTCCTTTGGTTTTTCAAAAAGGAGATGCAGATAAAAGGACAAGTCGTTGGAGCACCTGGGTGGCTCAGTGAGTGGGTTGAGCATCCGAGCTCGGCTCAAGTCATGATCTCGTGGTTTGTGAGTTCGAGCTCCGTGTCGGGCTCTGGGCTGATGCCTCGGAGCCTGGAGCCTGCTTCGGATTCTGTGTCTCCCTCTCTCTCTGCCCCTCCCCTGCTCATGCGGTCTCTCGATAATGTTAAACGACACCCACCCACCCACCCCCCCCCTTTTTTTTTTTTTTAATTTAGGACAATTCCTAGGGTCAGGCTAGAGCTGGTATCCCTTCCCCACTGTGTTCAGGGGCAGGTTAACCATTTACCAGCCCACCGCTGACAACACCAGGGAAAGCTAAGGGGTGGAGAAGACCCAAACTTTGGCAGGTTTGGCCTCCGCCTACGAAGCGGATCTGACCAAGTTAGTCTAGGGGGGGCGCTCAAGAGCAAAGGCGGCCGGGGGGCAGAGGACCCCTGCGCTGGGCGGAAGTGGCTAGATCCCCTGCCCCTGCCCCTGCCCCTGCCCCTGCCCCTGCCCCTGCCCAGCCGCGTTATCGCTGGGGAGGCAGATCCTAACTCTGTCGGCTAACCACCTTCCTGGAGCTGAACTAGAAGCTGAGAAGCGTGCTACGGGGCGGAGCCCCCCAGTGCGCATGCGGGAAGGGGGTTTGCGTTTTCCCCACCTGCGAGACCCTGCTATGGGACAGACGGGCACCGAACCCCGTTTCCGTGCCTCCACGTGCTCTGGACCAGCCGTGCTTCGCTGCCTGCCCCTTCCAGCTACTCTGTCTTTGCTTTCTGGCCTCCAGTGGAGTGGAGTTGAGTCGGTGGAGGAGGAAGATCAGAAGGTAGAGGGAGAAAAAGACCGGATTATTTATTGATTCCAACAGCAGAATGCTTTGAACCTGCAGTTCCCTCCCCCGGGGCTGTTTATACCAGACGTTAATGGGGCTTACTGCTTTACGTCTTTCCTCCTATTATCTTTTAGGAGACCTTTTCCAGCATATTTTTAAAAAACGGCCGGCCTGCCCCCTCCCCCCCCCACCCACCCCTGTTCCTGCTCTATCCTTCTTCACATTCATCACCAACTGATGTTGTATTTGTTTAGCGGTCCCCTCCCCTGTGGGGAGTAGAGCTTGGAATAGGAGCTCCCCGAGGGTTGGGATTTCATTATTTGCGTTGACGGCCCTGTCCTAGCACATAGAACAATACCCGGTGTGGGATTGTTGCGCTGTGTTGTTCGAAGGGGACACTGAGTGAAAGGCCCGTGTGTCCCTGTGTGACCCAATATGGCGGCTCCATCAGTGAGGTCCCAGGCGTGTGGGGGGTGGGTGGGCGCAGTGGGGGGAAGGCGAGAGCATTTAAGGGCTTTGGAATGGATTCTGCCTGTTGAAGTATTACGAGCAGGGGCGCCTGGGTGGCTCAGTTGGTTAAGCATCTAACCCTTGGCTTCAGCTCGGGTGGTGATCTCGTAGTTTGTGAGTTTGAGCCCCATGTCGGGCTCTGTGCTGACAGTGCAGAGCCTGCTTGGGATTCTCTCTCCCCCTCGCCTGCCCCCCATCCCCTGCCTGTGCTGTCACTCTCTTCTCTCTTTCAAAATAAACTTCAAATCGTGTTAAAGCAAACAGGGTTAAGGTGAGGCAACCCAGGGAGCAGCAACTGGAGGCCGCTGTTAGAAGGGGGCCATCAGGTTGAGTCTGGAAAGGCTTTGGATTCCCCCAGCAGTGGTTGGCGACCAAGAGGGATGCAGCTGGCAACAGGGCTTCGACAGAACTGACGGGACAAAATCTGAGGACAAGAGAGAGGGAGGGAGACAGCCTGGTTCTCCCTTCTCTCTCCTCCCATTGGATGAGCTGCTGGCAGGGAGTCTAGGAAGCAGCCCCCGGTGGTGTCGTGCACAGGGCTGCACGGAGGGAAGGGCGAGAAGGGTTTACGACAGTGGTTACAGCAAACTCCTGGCCTGGCACGCTGCAGGTATTCAAATATTTGAAGAGCTGGCCTCTGCTTTTCCGTCATTCAAGGAGAAACGGAATGCAACAGACCTGCAGGGATGTAAGAAAGGCCATGTGGCTGCAGGGAAACGGACCGTTGCCCCGACACGGCCAGTCTTCTGACTTCCAGCAGGCCCGGACATCCAGTCTCCTGCCCGTAGGTTGCGCCCATGAGTGGATCTGTTTCTAGTGGCCAGAAGTGTTGATTGGAACAGTCTGATTCTGGAAAGGGAGCGCTCGGGGGGGCCATTCTTGCTCAATAACCTGCTATGGCTCACCACTGCCTTCAGAATCAAGTTCCTCTTTTTGCTGAAAGGCCCCAAATACAGGCTAGGGAGGTTCCACCAGACATCCACACCTTCCCTTTCACGTCTACTGAGTGTGGCTTCAGCCAGGATAATCTGCTCAGACCTTCCATCAGGTAGCTATTGCTGTGTCAAACTTATTCCAAGGTGCAGTGGCTTAAAGAGCCGAGTGTGTATTATGGCTACCGAGTCTAGGACTCAGCTGGGGGGGGGGGAGGATCTTGATCTCAGGGGAGACTCATCCTGCATCTCTGGTCAGCTGGGGTTGGGGAGCAGCCCTGGGCTTTCTCAGGTAGTATTTGGGGGTCAAGTGGCTATAGACTGGTCTAGAATGGTCTTGGCTGGGCACAGCTGGGCCACGTGATCTGTCCTTCTCCAGTAGGCTAGCTTGAGTTCACTCAAGTGATACTAGAAGGTTTTCTGGACTCTTCAGAGTCCAACGTAGCAGATGCCTTGAGGCACCACCCGGATATCCTTTTTCTGGACTGACCCATCACTCCCCCAGGTGCCGTGGGTTTTGGCTGTTGATGGTTCACAGTCCAGTGGTTCTGTGGGCACTGCTGTCTGCTCCTGAGGCGGAAGCCTGACGTGGGGTGAGACGGCTCCCTTAGCAACCTGCGTTCAAGGGCTAGGGCATAAATGGTACGTGGAGGGCTCGGTGCATATGGCTAGGGTCTACGAAGGGTATAAAACTTCCGTCTCCTCACCCCGCTTTCAAGCGGGGTGGGCCTCGAGTTCTCCCAAGGCTCTCCCCGGGGCCACCTGAGGCTGTGTTACAGCCGCATCACGGCCCCGTTCTCCCAGGAGAAGCCCAATCCTCCCACCAGTTCCCAGGTGCTATTCCTGAGTGTTCTCCAGTAAGCCCACCTGCATGGGGGGCTCCCGCACCAACAATACGTGCCTTTCCTACCATCGGTTAAGAAGAGTGACACGCATCCTTAACACTTACCGGTATGCCACTGGTTACACACAAGCAGCTCGCCGGGGAAAAGCTGGGTATGGTTCACCGGTTTCCATGGTGTGAAGGCTCCCGCCCTGACCAATTTCAGAGGAGCATCTTGAAGCCATTGAATGAGGAGCCAGCTTCCGGGCCCCACCAATCCTAAGCCAGCCTTCCCACACGCGCGTGGGTGTGAGTAACCGAAGCAAAAAGGTCTCGAAGCAATACGGTATATTCCACGTATAACGCCATACGGAGTGAGCTTGGATTTGCTGTTCTACTTATGAAGCTTCTAACGGGTTTATGACTTCCAGGGTGAAATGCAGGTGTTAGGGGTGAGTCTTGCTTGGCATAGTGAGCAGCAGGTGGATGCTGGAAGGAGGGTGTGTTTGGGGCAAGATTGTGCCCCTCTAGGGTGATCCAAAACTTAGAAGTTCAGGAGGTGGGGAGAAAAGGGTAATTAAAAGGCTCGTTTAAAACAACAACAAACATTGAAAAGCTTGCAAAGCTTCTCTTCACAGTAACTTCCCCCAAGATACT